TACCTTTCTATGGGTCCATCAGCATGCCTCTTAAGTTTAAAAATCCATTTACACCCAATGATTGACCTGTTAGGAAGAGTATTGACAGTGGACAAGGTGGATATTATGAATATCTTGATATTCTATGATCATAGTCTGCTTCCATTTTGGATGTGTAAAAGCCTCTTTATATGTGAAAGGTTCTGCTTCATCAAAGATGAGCAAGAAAGGTCCTTGGCTTTAGAGAACCTTTTTTTGATCTTGTAACCATATAATGAGTAGGTTGTGCTATAGGAGAAGTATTAGTAGCATTGTGTGAATAATGCACAATGTGTTCAGATCCAATTTCATTCACAATTGGCAAATCAACAATAAGTGGAATAATTTAGTTTGTATGAGGAGAACTGTTATCTGAGTTGTTAGGTGAAGTAGGAGAGGATGAGAAAAGATTTATATTCATAATTGGAGAGGTATGAGATGAAGAATGACTTAAAGTGGTAGAAGAATGTGGTGAGTTGGAAGGTATATAAGCTCCATGTGAAGGTAATATGGTGGAAGAAGTATGTACAAATTAAGAGATATTGTCTTTATTAGAACAAGAGATTGTGGTTTTGCAAATGGGAAACTAATGTTCATCAAAGATAATATCTCCAGTGACAATGACTCTACGTGATAGAAGAAGAGCTTTCTAACCCTTATGCTTAAAGGTAGAAGGGAAAGACCTTGGTTGGAGCTTGTGTTTGTTCTAAGGTCTTGTATTAGGATAACAAAGAGAGCCAAAAAGACATTAAGAGTTTCAAGGGAACATGAGAGTGATAGAGGAGAGGAAGAGCCATTTCAACTATGGTTCTATATCTCCTCTCAGCTACCCCATTTTGAGTTGGAGTATAAGGGCAAGAGAGTCTATGATTAATGTCAGAATCTGTGAATATAGAACCAAGGTTCCTAAACTCTCATCCCAATCACTTAACTGTTTTAATTTTGTGATTCAATTGAGTTTCAACCAAGTATTTGAAGCGAATAAAGGTTTGTTTAACTTCAAATCTTAGTTTCATGAAGTAAATCCTTCTGAACTTAGTATACTGATAAAAAAAAAAAAGAAAAAAAACCATAGTACTGAGAACCATTTACGGATTTAATTGGAGATGGTCCCCACAAATCTGTGCGTATGAGTTCAAGAGGCTGAGTGTAAGTGATGTGTGGATCATAATAAGGTAAGGCATGACTTTTTTACTAAAGATAAGAATTGCAGATAAAATGTTCATTAGAAGAAGCTGAAACATTATAACTTCTCATAACCTTGGAAACAAGGTCAAAAGCAGCATGACCTGATCTAGAGTACCACAACTCTAGATTACTCGTTTATTAACAGAAACAACATTTGCAGAAAAAGAATTTGAGGAGCTGGTGTTTGGATATCCTTGAGATGGAGACACTGAACAATTGATGTCAAAGCCGTAGAGACCTCATCCTTAAGAGAATCATTAGAAAGACTTGTTGAGTAGCATGATCACTGCTAAAACAATAATTAGGGTGAAATTCAAAGAACATTTAGTTATATTTAGAAAAATAAGACTTTTGGTAATGCTTGGTACATGAAGAAGATTTTTAAGATAAAAAAGGTCTTGACAGAGTTGAGGGATTAACAAATTATGAACTGACAATATGTGAAATCAACAAACCTGAACCATTACCAACATGATGTTTGTTGTGACCTTGGTGTTTTGAAGAAATGCTGAGGTCGGACATGTCACTGGTCACATGATTGTATGCTTCTGAGTCACCAAACCACAAGGAGTCTTGACTTGTATCTAGTGATAGCACCATGGCACTCATGTTTTGTCCAAGAGAAGGATTAGCGAGTTGTGCAACATGAGCTGACTGAGGTTGTTGTGGTTGCATATTTGTAGGTCCTGGATAGATTGAATTATATATCTAGTTGGAGTTTTCAGTAGTATGATTGAAGAGACCACAAAGTTGACATGAAAGTCGATTGTTGTTCCTATAGCCTCTACCTCCTCTTTCTTTGAAGTTACGCGATCTTCTTTTTTCTCTTAGAAACTGAAAACCACATCTATTTGGATTGAACTGAGTATTTGACCTTTGAGTGACATTGTTGTTACTTGAAGATAGATTGATTGTAGGTATGGACCCATCAAGATTTATTATGGTTTGTGTGCGAACATTAAATCTTGATTCTAAGCTGAGAATAATAGCATACACCTCATGTAACTATATGGTTCTCGTAACGTCGAACACTCCAACCGACTAGAAACGGCTCACTCGATCTTCCTCTCGTCGGTAGAACGCCGAGTACCTGCCAAAACTCTCACATCGAAGAGGTTTTCCAGTGAAAAGCCTCTGATGCTTAAGTCAATATCACTCCAATCTCAAGTCTCAAGAGTATAATAGTGAAATCATGCTCGAATCGTGAAGCCTACCCCTATATATAGGGGTGGGGCACCTGCTTCTAGAAGCCTACCCGAATGAGCTGAGGTGGTTGCTCAGCCTGCCCGAAACCACAACGCACACTGAAGGTGTGTCAAAGACGGTTATGCGATATGGACCAATCAGGACGTGCCACGCGTCCTCTGCAAGTGGGGGTTTGATTCCTCTGAAATCTCCTCGAAGGCTCTTATGTTCAGCTAAGTCTAGGTCGATCCGCTGATTGCTCCAAATCTAGAAAGTGGACAATCAGACGACCAATTGTGCCACAGGTCGATCTTCGACCAGATCCTCAATAGGTCTGGGACCGACCTGTTCTCCAAGTGCTGGAATCCCCTTTAAGTTGTCTTCCATTCCAAAGGCTCTTGTTTCTGTAACGTTCGACCACAAAAATGGGACAAAAAAATGGACAAACAACTAGACCGATTCTCAAAAAAAAAAAAAATAAGATGGGTGAAACGTGTGGTTCTAGAAGAAATGTGGGGAAAGATCTGGTATGATTGAGCAACCAGTTGAGTTTATAGTTTCTTTTGTGTCTTTTTTGGTCATTTTCGCTCTCCGCTCAACCAGGGCAGTTCGACCAGTTTGCTAGACTGGCTTATTCGCCCGCTTTACTACTTCGGGTATAGTATCCCATATCAAGTTCTATCTTTGATGTCACAGAAACTATAGCAAGTTGTAATCGGCTCCTAGGCCAAACAAGATATAAAGAATGTAGTTTTGCTCAGGCACATACTCTCATGTTGTCCACAGTGCATCAGAACATGACTTTACTTTGCCAAGAAATTCTCTCATGGTTCTTGAGCCTTTCTTGAGTCATTGAAGTTGTCGTTTGTGATGCATAAGTCTTTCCTTAAACAAAACTATGAAGTTTGCTTTCAGGGACTGCCATATCTTCCTTGATGTGGTTTTTCCAACCATCATAATGAGAAGATTCTCACTGAGAAAAAACATGAGCCATTAGGTAAAAAGTCGATCTTGTCTAATCCAAGCAGTGTACTCAGGATTGGGAGAGGCTTGTTTTGTGATCTGAGATGTGATGAATTGATCTGGTGGTGTGCAGTCCTTTAAGATGAAGCTTTCAAGGCCATATCCAACTATAGCATCAAGGATCTATTGTTTCCACAACAGGTAATTAGCATTAGTCAAGTTTATAGTGATTAACTGATGTTGAAGTTAGATAAACGAGGATGTTTGAAGATAAGGGCACACTGGTGCTCCTTGTTGGTGACTGAGACGCCATTTAATGGTATGTCTCTCAGAAACATTGAAAAAAAAAACAAAAATTTTTGAGCCAGCTGGCTTTGATACCATGTTGAAAAAGTATAAATATGCAAAGTTAAAGCCACTAAAGCTTGGTGAACTCGAGATCTGTTTCATTGCTATTTTTGGACTACAAGATAATGTTAATTTGATAAAGATGATGTGTGTTAGAGTTACAATAAGAAGTTACTATGTATTGAGAACCATACTACAAAAACCTACAGCCAAGATTACATCAAGAAGGTAATTCAAAATTTGAAAGTTGACAGCTGCATCATTGTACTCATCTTTCTTCATGCATGAGTCACTCACTCCCTTTCTTTCTCTTAATGCATGACTCTTTGATCTCTTGAACAAATGTGTTTTACATATATTTCATCATATACTATAAAAATTAATAGAATAATAGTAAAAATATATAAAATTATATGTTATACATGTAAAATAAATAAATAAAATAATATATATTAACTGAAATAGTTCGACCACTAATTCGACTAATGACCTATAGAATCAGTAGCTTCATCGATCCGGTGGATGGTTTTCATAACCTTGGTAAAACCAACTACTTTGACACTTAGACACTTGGGATTTTTTTTCTACCAGTGGGGTATGATGGGAAAGGAAGGATATTGACTCTCATCAAGTCATCACTACATGGATATGGTCATCACCACTTTTAAATAATATAACAAATAATAATAAAAAACCCCACTTGACACATTTTCCACACTATCATTCATTTTACACCACTCGCTTTCTCGACATCTCTCTTTACTGTGTTCACCAGGTAAAGCGTTGAAGAATTAAAGAGATTTTTTCATTCAGTTCAGCAATTGTTGTCTTTCAAAGATGAAATCTGTTTGCCTTCTTATTAGTTCTTGTATTTTGCCTGGTTTTGCTTGTTTGCTGCGATCTCTCTCTCTCTCTCTCTCTCTCTTTCTTTAGATTTTTGAATTATTCGGTGTGTTCTTTGAGGAGGTTTTGAATTAAACCAGCTGGGCTTGTTCCCAGCTTTTGTAATCTTGTTCTTGATTTTGTGGGTTTTTTTTTTTTAATTTGAGGTGAATCTTTTACTTTTGGTTTGTACAGAGGCCGAAAAAAAAATTATTTGACAATTTTAGGAAATCTTGAAGATCTTTGAAATCTTAAAGATCTTTGATCTCATTTAATGTTATTGACTTATTGTCTTGTGTCCCATAAATTCTTGATCGCAAGAACAAGTCTGATTCATTGCTTTTCATTCCTTTTTTTCCAAACAGCAGCAGAGTTGAAGCTTGAAAGTGTAATTGGTCTATAACCCATAAATAAAAATGGAGTCTTTAAGCTATGCATTTGAGGGGAGAAGGCTGCCTTTCGCAGATCTCTCCGATTTTCAGCTCGACAATCTCACGAGCAAAACCCCATTGCAAAACCCGGATGAACAATCGCTTTTTGTTCATATGAGTAATAGCACTCGATTTTTAGAACATAGTTTGCCCGAAATGACTAGAAAGTTTTTACCTAGTGGTCACGAAAGCCTAGAAATTGCTTACATGGGCACGAATGGTAGTTGTTGTAATGAGGTGAAGACTGCTCCCGAGCCCTCCGTACCGGCTAAAAGAGCGAAAATTACTAATATTCCCTTGTCGAAACCCATTTGTCGAGTCCTCGGGTGCAACAAGGACTTGAGTTCTTCCAAGGATTACCACAAGAGGCACAAAGTGTGTGATGTTCACTCGAAAACGGCTATGGTTATTGTAAATGGCAAACAGCAAAGGTTCTGTCAGCAATGCAGCCGGTACATAATCTTTTTTTCTTTTTTTTTTTCCTTTTTCTGCTTTTATATTAACAATCATGTTTCTACTAGTTGAGTGTTTGGTGGGATTATTTGCTTTTAGTCTTAACAGAGGGTTAATGGCGAAAGCGAGCCCTGAAGATTTGCCTAAATAGATACAAAGGGTTATTACTTATTTGTGATTTGAGACAAAAGCTTGAAACTTTCAGTGAATTTTATTGTCATTAGTAGATACAAATATCAATGAGTGATTGTATTTAGTATGTTAGAAAGACAGTTCGGTTTTCTGTATCAGGTGTCGTTAAAAGAACAATAATTGTTTTCCGTTTTGTTGATAATCTGCGTTCGCTTTATTTATCACCCAATATGAGCAAAAATGCTTCATCTGAATAAATGCTTGTTACTGATTTTGTATTTACTTCATGAACTCTATTGACCATTTTGTATTTAAAGATTTCACGCGCTATCGGAGTTTGACGAAGGGAAGCGTAGCTGTCGTAAACGACTTGCTGGCCATAACGAGCGCCGGAGAAAGCCTCAATTCGAATCTTACTTTGGTGAGCTGCACTTTTTATTTTGGCATTTTTATGTTTTTAATACGCCTTTTAATGAAAAGGATAAGTATTATTCATTTTATTCGACAATTAGCCTTCTCTTGATCAAGATTGTATTTGATTCACCATTGACTAAATTGTAAAAGCGAAAAATCGGAAAAACTTCATTAGAAGCTTAGGATAATCACTTTTTTCTTTAGATTATTTGCCGTAACTTTATATCTTAGCACAAGAGTTGAAACATTTATTCCTATTACAGGTTCCTCATACTTTCAGACAAATGCACCATCAAAGACTTCATCGATTTTCCCGAATATCGTTAACGACAGCTTCTATTATCCACAATGTAATAACAACAAAAATCCTTCGACTCGTGTCCCGTTTTCCCATTTCGAGGAAAAAGGGTCCCCATCCAAACAGGCCCTTAAAACCACCCGAATATTACCGGTGCATCAAGAGTCATCTGTGGGTTCAACCAACTCCAGCTGTGCTCTCTCTCTTCTGTCATCTCAATCTCACGATTTATTACTTCCCAATCCAATGTACGAAAAGTTCACTTCCTCCATGGTTTTTGGTCCATCTCAAAGTGAACTGGAACAAAATGTGATCTCCCGAAAGAGCAATTTGTGTTTGTCAGGTTCCAAGACTGTTGATTTGGTCGAATTATCATTATATCTTCAAAGAGTGGAACAGCAAAAATATTACGAAAAATCGTGTCTTTCGTGAGTCGATTTTGTTTTTTATTTTCCCTTTAGGTGAATTTGTGCAGATATTCTTGTTATTTATAGGTGGGAAAATGACATTGAATGGATTTGTAAGAACTACTTGAATTTACTTGATCAAATCATCCCCTTGAAGAACATGGTTTCTTTATGTCTTTACTCTTTTTTTTTTTCTTTTTTTTTTTTCTACTTGTTTGTGTGGTAATCATTTTCACTACCTATGTAACCTTTATATGTTTGTAATAAGGCTATGGTTAGGAAGGTATAAACTGTTGGACAATCATACTTTTTCAAAGAATCATACTTTTTCAAAGAGGACGCATATTTTCGAACTGAAATGTCATATTTTATATATAAAGACAATTAAAAAGAAAGGACCGATTGTGGTTTAATATTGTTTTGTTCTTTAATAATCATTGAGTGCTTACCTTAGGGTTTATATATATACTAGTATTAATATCCATGTACAACATGTGTGTTGAGTTAATGAATATATGTGTAAAGTTATTTATGTCTAATACCAAATTTAACTCCAGAACAAAAATAATATAAAAACAACATCAGGAAGCATAGATTTTCGCTATGTCAGCATCCGAAGCGTGAAAATCTGTCATCTAGACTCAACACGTTTTGAATTAATATATAGGGAGGGGTTATCAAAAAATGTTAGTTGGCAAATTAAATGGCAGTTTGAGTAACATATGTCATTGTTATGCTAAAGCCTTTAAAATGGGGTGATTAAACTATATTATCACAAAAGTAATTCATCACTTTATTTGTTTTTTAGTGTCTTTTTTGTTAATATTTTGGTTTTGTGGCCATGTGTATGCACTATTGTACCTACACTCTCAGCTTTGTTTCATAATCTTATCCCAATTGCTTTATAACCCAGTTTTAATCACTTTTAGTGGCTTTAATAGTGAGCTAAAGCATGTATTCCTGTTCTTTGTTTTTTTTAAGGCTTTTACAAATCACAAGGTTTTTTTTTTTTTTAAATAAAAATAAAATAAAATAAAATACAAGGAACACAAAAATATCCATTGAGGATCTAAACTCAAATCCTCATACATGTCGATCTGGCCAGAGTGACCAGACATGGAGTCCAAAATGTCAAATCTAGTCAGGGGCAGGAGGTGGCGGTCGACTGAATCTGAAGGATGGGTACTCTAACTGGTCCATCCGAATGAGCGTCCGAAGCCGGAGGGGAATGTCCTCAGGAAGAAGGGTGCGTCTTTAAGGTAAGATGCTCCCGTGCTAGCAAGGAAATCAGCAAGCCGGTTCCCCTCTCGGAATATGTGTAAGACCTGGTACTGGATCGAGCGGAGGGTGTCTCTGATACGCATAAGAGGGTGTTGGATCTGCCATGAGCCCTGGTGGCCAGATGTCAAAAGTGTGATGACAGCCGCAGCATCCATCTCTATCCAAACATGAGAGGAGATCGAGGCGGCAATCTCAAGACCAATCTGGAGCGCCTGAATCTCTGCATCATAACTCGAGGAGGCCCGGAGTGGTCCATGGAAGGCGGAGATGAGAGCCCCCTCATGATCCCTAATCAGGCCCCCTCCTCCAGCAGCTCCGGTGTGTCTGTCGAAAGCGCCATCAGTGTTTAGCTTAACCCAAGGGGCCTTGGGTTTCAGCCAAACAACGGTCCTGGGTCGTGAGTGCTGGACAGGTGAAGGAGGTGGTGGCCTCAAACGATGGGGCGGTGTACACCCTGTCCAGTCTCTCGTCGTGAGTCTACCTAGGGCAGTGAGGAGAGAGAGGTGTCTGTCAACCTGCAAAATAATGTGAGCACAAGAAAATATAATATCCCTATGCTTCGCATTATTCCTTTCTGTCCAGGTGGCCCAAAGGATCAGACAAGGAATAAGGAAGCCCACGTGTCTACTGTGTGTGCGGTGAGCGAAAAAACTCAGAAGGCTCAAAAAACTGTCTGTAGTGGGTAGGGGTATATGAGTATATATGGCATAGTGCTCCCACACTCTCCTCACAGTCTCACTCTCAAGGAAAAGATGGGTGAAAGTCTCGATCTCAAAGGTCCCGGTCTCAGCACAACAATGGCAGCGGGAGGGGAAAGAAAACCCTCTCGCCTGCATCACAGTGTCAATGGGAATACGCCGTAAGAGGAGGCGCCACAAAAAAACGGAAATGGTCGGGGTAAGAAGGTCGGTCCATATGGCCCCGAAGAGGCGGTTTGGCCGGTTGCCCAGCCTCACTTCTCCCCAGGCTGATGACGTAGAGAATGCACCCGAGGATGTAAGTCTCCACTTCATGCCATCCAAACCTCCCTCCATGATGGGAATCTGTCGGATCTGGTCAATCTCTAGACTACTAAAACCCCCACCCTCACCAAGAATATCCTCCATCTTATCTCTATCCTAAAAGCCTCCCGTCCAAAGGTCCTTCACCTGCATGAAAGGCAGGTGAGTGACTGGCCTAGTACTCGAGAGAGGGGCCTCGCCGAACCACCACTCATTCCAGAAGCTAACCTCCCCAGAACCCAAGGTCCAAAATATGTGCTTCTGAGCACGTCTGCCAACAGTGGTGAGACGTCTCCACTGTCGACTATCCCGAGTGGTGGTTGTCACCCTGCAAGGATGAGCAGCACCACCAGGGCAATATTTTCTCAGGAGGTATTGGGCCCAAAGGGACTTGCCCTCCCTAAGGCGCCACCACATCTTGTAGGAAAACGCAGTAACCATATCAGAGAAACGCCGAACCCCGAGCCCACCCTCAGAGTGGGGACGACAGATGGTGTCCCACTTCACCCAGTGGGTCTGCCGCCGACCCCGTTACAAATCACAAGGTTTGATCCTTCTCTATTTCCCTCTAATTTATAGTCCTTATTAATGTTAAAGAATGAAAAAAATGTGTGAGCACAATATATTAAATTAATCTATAAATATATAATTTGGAGCAACATCATTTAATTTTATTATTAGTAGCATTAAACTATATTATTTTGTTTTCCCGCCTAAAGCAGTTACAAATTATAATACACCAAATTTAATATGTATTTTTTTAGCTTTTTTCCGTAATCAACTCTAAAGAATGTAACGTTTTCTTTGACTTTTTCAAAATATCTCTATTTGTAATGGAAAGGTGTGACTAACATGCAAATGTGTTCAACTTTTGCAATTATTATTCATGGTTTGACCAATAAACATTGAATCTTCATAGATCTACTAAAATTTATAGAAAAAAAAAAAACAAAATGTAAAGAAGTATTTATTAAGAAGCGGCCAATAGTCGAAAGATTCGACTTCAGTGCTCAACTTAAAACAAACTTTTGTAAAAAAAAAAAGGAAGAAGAAAACAGCGTAAATTTCTTTAGAAAAATTTCAGATATTGATAAATATGTAATGTAATCGCTTGATTTGCGTTGTTTTACTATAGTTTAATAAAACGGATCTTGAAAATCTGGACGATTTTATTGTTTCTCCTTTGGGTTTGAAATTTTCGGGTTTAGTTCTTTTTTTTGTGTGTATTGAACTGAAAATCTCGCTGGTCAAACATCGATTTGGCATGTTTATCGGCGAGAATTTTGCAAGAACACTAAAGGTTTGGGATTTTTATTGAGAGAGAAAGAAGATATGTACAACAGTGAAGAATGAGTGGAATGACACAGAATTTTTGGTGTTTCTCTTTTTGGTACGGGTTTTGTGAACCCTTAAAGTGGAAATGGGCTTTCATCAATAATGAGCCTTTTTGTTATTGTTATAAAAATATTGATTTGTCTATTGGCCCAATAGCAATTACATGATTTTTTTTGTTTTTTTATTGTGTATTGGGTTCAATTTGAAAATTATTTTTTCGGGACTTCACCAAACCGGGCTCATTAAACAAATAACCTTACTGAGAATATTGGCTAAAATCACCTTAGAGATTTATTTTTAATAAAAAATTATGCCCAATTCACCATATTTTTTTAAAATGTTATCCAACCCAATTCAACAACTGTTTATAAAGCAATTATTTGTTCAATAGATAATTTTGACCAAAATGTTTATATTTGATGACAATTATAACAAATTCGGCACACATTTTATTATTACATATTTGTTAGAAAGTACCGTTCAAGTTTCAGCGGAGACCATTTTCTATCATGGTCTTCTATGCTATGACGATCAACAAGAGTCAAGACCAGTCTCTCTCACACATCGGCTTAGTCTTGACGAACCATGTTTTCAGTCATGGACAATTGTACATTGCTCTTTCTAGAGTCACGAATCGGAAGAGTTTGGAATAATAATAATGTGGTGATGGTGATTCCGATATGAAACCATGAATGTTGTATATAAAGAAGCGTTCAATAATATTTAGAATCATTTTTTTAATCTATATTTTTCATAAATTAAATTATGATTATGTATTTTTTTATATTGTTTTCTTTTATTCGTATTCTCCTCCGTGCAAATGCACGGGATGAGTACTAGTTATATAATTACCTTTCTGCACAATTTATAGGTGTATTTATGTGGTTTAATTTAAATTTTAGAAAGATAGGTAAAACCTCAAAATGGGCCAGTTGATTAATTGATTATATGTTTTGAGCCCTATTGTAATTTGTAATGTAGTTAAAGTGTGGCCCAACATGAAACATATCCTCTATTATTCTCGAATGCGCTGAGCCTACATGGCTGCTTTTGATGTTTCGGAATCCTACTTAGCAAAGAATCATGCTTCCTAATTAGGTTTGGACAAATAATATTGATATATTAATAATTAATAATCTAGGTTCGGACATTCCATAAATATTAAATAACTAACTTAGGTATTTTAATATCACTTGTACTAATATAACCCTTTAATTCTTTGTAATTTTACATAGTGAGACATTAAGTGACTAATATATCCCTAACTTTTGATTTGTTTCCTTCAATTAGTTATTTAATTGTAAATGTATTTTAAAATAGGGAAATTTTTGTTTATGCTACACGATTTTGAAATAATTGCAACAATACAATTCATATTAATTTAATTGTGTGTATACCTAATAGGTAAAAATTAATTACAATCATGCCTAAAAGAAGTTACATGCAGGTGGAACAACCATTCCTTATTTGTAGCGCTAGATTTTAGGATTCAAGATGGAAAGTTATCATATTTAAATTTAAAAACATAATCTCCATTAATACATAAGGAAAAATAGAAAAAAAAAAACTCCATTAACACATAAGGAAAAACAGAAAATAAAAAAAAATAAAAAAAAAACGTCAACCTAACCCACATAATGATCCATTTTGTTTATGGGCATGAATTTGTAAGTTTGTCATCCCAAAGTTTCTGCAATTTATGTATGATTAATTTTGCAATTAATTTCATCCCAAAGTTTTCAAACTAATGATTATTTCATAAAATGTTGAACAGGTGAAAGTATATGTTCAATATATTTTGGTATTTGTTCATAGAAATAAATTGCGTAGTTTTAATATTTTTGGTTTATGTTCAACAGTTTATTTCTTTATGTGCAGTATAAGTATATTTTTTATTTATGTCCAGTATATTTTATCTTTATGTTCAGTTTATTTTTGGTTCACGTTCAACAGTATATTGTTTGGTTTATGTTCAGTTTATTTTTGGTTCATGTTCAACAGTATATTGTTTGGTTTATGTTCAGTATGTAATAGCCATATACTTGGGATGAAAAAACAGAAAAAAAGTATGAAAAAATGGAATGTGCTGGACACGCTGACAGTGATATATACTTGAAATATACTGATCATATACCAACTGGTACATAATTGAAGCATGTCCCAAATTATATGATAAGTATATATTGTGTAAAATATATGAATATGATTAGTTTATTAATATTATATCACACTGTCATATACTTCAAAATACATATAAAACCAACACCTACTTAGCATAATGTGTTAGACAGTAAAAATTTCAATATATTTGAGATAAGATCATTACACAAATGTGTGTACACATGGAATAAAAATATCTCATATATACTTTAAATCAACAATCCATATACTTGGGGAGCGAAAAAAAACATAAAAAATATGACAAAATGGAAATGAGTTGGACACACTGACAGTGTTATATACTTTGAAATATATATATTATATACCAACTGTTAAATGATAATAAAACTAATATACCAAACATTAGCTAATATTTACAATAACTACACATATCTCTAAGATGTGCATATAATGAACATATACCGTACATATACTGCCCATACACGAATTTGTATAATGAAAAACCAAACATGGATTTTCCCACACCCAACCAACCATCTCCCCCAGCCATGGCGAAGCCGCAACCCTTGACGAGGACGCCGACGGAAATTGAGGATATCATAAAACTCTTCCAAATGGTTTAAGCTTGAGATGCACCGGATCATTCAGACGGATACAGATAATGGAAAGTCTATCTCCGATCGTTATCCTCCGCCGCCATAGACGTCCCCGAACCCATATCTATTTCAAAATACAAAGTCGTACAACATTTCTCACTCAAAATCAACACTCTCTACACATGATGAATTGAGAAAGAAATAGGTTAAATTTTCAAAAGTATTTAGGATGCTACATGTTACCCCAACAAGAATTTTTTTTTTTTAAAAAAAAAAAACGATTTTTGTATTAATGAAACTCAATATGATAAAGATTCAGATTTTGAAATAGATAATTAAAAAAAATATAGACTTTCTCCTCAACCCAGGCATGAGGGAAGCCCCGTTTTCATTCGGACCTCTCCGCCGCCGGATCAGCCATTGACATCTCGTTGGCCGGCCATCCAATCGACACCCTCCCTGGCGGTGGGGGCTCCCTCGTCCTTCCCGACGGAGTAAAATTTCTCCTCAGGGTTAGATCGATCATAAAAAAATAGAGAATAATTTTAACTGTAGAAGAAAAGAAAATATAAAGATAAAGTTGTAGAAGAAGAAGACAGAGAGACAAAGAGAGAGAGAGACGAAGACAGAGCGAGATGGGAGAGGGAGAGAGAGAGAGAGAGAGAGTTGCAGCGGTTTAAAGTCGAGGATTAACTTCCCGTGAATATAGATATTCCTTAATTATCTGATATAGGTGTATTAGCAATATTTTATCCTTAATTAGGTAATTATATAAATAATTCCTAAAGGGTTGTAAATGTATAATATATTAAGGAAGGAGATGTACAGCGTGTAATTTCCTCTTTAAAATATGACAACTTTTGTATTTCTTATCAGTTTTACATATATAATATATCAAATTGATCATCTTTTGATGATCTTCGATTTCACATCCATAGTATATGTGAAATAAATAAATTGTATTTTTCTTTATAATAATAAAAAATAATAATATTTATTAAAATTCATTAGAAAAAATAAAATTATTTCTCAATTGATATGTTTATGTTTAATGTAGTTATATGTTGTAAGTTAAAAAATTATTATAATATAACACAAGTAAGTCGCACAAATAAAAAAGTATCATACTAAATATATAATAATATATATTTTTATAAAAGGTATTTAAATTTTCAAATATTTTTTCTCATTAATTTTAAATTTTAAGAAAAAATTAGCAAGCACCCGTGTAATACACGGGCATTGTACTAGTAAGTAGATAATAAGCTAAAGTAAACTAATAGGCCATTTAATTGATTAATTATTGTCCAATGTGATTTTAGATTTAAATAATTATAATAATACAAAATTTAATTGGGTTCGAGTGAAAAATTGTAGTACGTGACTCAATTTTTGTGTGAATTAACCTAACCGTCAAATGAGTCAGCTCGTCATATTCTGTAAATTGCGTGAATCGACCTAACTGAAATACCACAAACTGAAATAATCACAACCATAAATAAAGTAAAACAAAAATCCCAAATGCTCAAATATAATTTAGCAACATCATAAGCCAAGTTCCACAACAAAAATTGCAATAAGTTATAAAGAAGTCATATAAGTAAAAAATCAAGAACACCGTCAAACCCCATACCTAAACCAGCTCCATCAAAAAAAAAAAAAAAAAAAATCTATTACACTACAAATTTTATAATCGCCTATTTTTTCGCATCGCCATTAGGGATCTTAGCTGGAGCATCGCCAGATGGGTTGAGCTCGTCCCAGGCCTCGATCCACGTCACCATAGCATCCGCCAGCTTGGTGAAATAGGGGTCGACAGACGAGAGCTTGGCCTTGACGAGCTTGGCAAGCTCGAGATAGCACTGCTGAACGGTAGTGCATTCTTTGGGAAGAGTTAGTGACTGGAAAAAGGGAATGATATCTTCTTGCCAATAGATGCCTTTGTACTCCTTTTTCAGATTCACAAAAGGGTTGCTGGCTTTGCTGTGCCAGATGTACGGGAGCCCGGTTTTCACACCAAGGTTCAAATGGTCGCATATAACCTGAAAAAATGAAAATCATTTTAAAAAATATGCATATACGTTTAAATTGAAATGTTATACCCTAAAAGACAACATAAACAAAAGTGTGAAATTTCATAGCACAATATGCATTTTTGTTGGAAAAATGGTATAACGGATCGACCCATTTAATAGTTAGGCAGCCTCACATAAGAATTTGTGATATACATTTAGGACGTACTTGGATACAAATATATCTGCTCAAAACGAGTTTTTTTAGTTAATTTAAGTTAATTTTGAAAAAGTTGGTATTGGTTAGTTATTTCTAGTTAATGGGATTTTGAGGTTATATTAAAAGAATATTTAAATAAAATAATTAAAGTTGATTTGATGTAAAAGTAGGAGAGTGGTGATGTGAAGTAATGGTTAAATTACGAGTGGATGAATAATGAATTAAAATTGATGTGATGTATTGATAATAATGAAAATAGTAGGGTTGGTTTAAAATTGAATTGGATTTTGAGTATGGATTGAAAAAAGTTATATACAAACACCCCCTTACTCATTTAGTAGTTTTGAATGATAGATAGGTATTCTTGTTATCTTGACAAACCTCACCGTACTTCCAGTAATTGACCCTCCGTGTTTGAAACAGTTCACATTCTTTTAATGGGGCGTACTAATTTGAAAAGATAACCTGGAGTTTTCTTTGTAATTAGGATGATCATTTGAGTTGTTTTTCGTAATTATCCAGAAAACTTTCCGAAGGTTTCATCTCAGTATCTCCACTTGTGACCAAACAAGACAATGAAAACTGCTAATTTCCAGACAAATCATATCATGCATTTACTATATTATGAATATTAGAGCAATTTAAAAAAAAAAAATGATGTACCTTGGTGCACCAGCCGGCCCACATGTCGTCATATCGCCCAATGGGTTGACCATCTCCCATGAGCCCAAAGTACATTGCTGGGCCAATCAGGTCACGGTCAAAGGCCAAATTCATACCGCACATTGGGAAAATGGTACCCTTGGGGATTGTCAAAACAGCATCCACATACCTGGAGAGCAAAAAAAAATTACAAAAAATCCAGATAGATTTGTTAATCTATGATGATTTATATAAGAACAATTGCAAAAGAAAAGAAAAAAGGTCAGCCTGATTACAAGATATCTGTTTCTATTTCACTGATTACTTTGATTGTTTCATGCTGTTTAGGTGCTCATACATTTCTAGCTAAAAAAACCGCACTCATGTGTAGCTGATTTTGCTCAAGATGTGCATTTCTCCTCAAAAAGAGTAACATTGGATTATAATTGCCCCGCCTAACAAATTATAAATGCAGACCTACCGTTTTGCTTACAGATTGTGCAACAGGGGGGTTTTCAATGTAAGACCTTAAATAAGACAAGTGTTTTAAAAAAAATGGCTAAATTTCGAGGTTGTATTTTCAAATTACTAATATATTTCACAATTTCACAGAGCACGTGCCTGGTATTCCTTTCACGAGGCTTGACGAGCTGTGTAGGGGCATCATAATCAGGGATGTTGAGCCAGAGGCCATGAGAGACTGCAGTCGGGACACCTTCACGAAGACTGAATGGGTATCCACGAACAAAATCGGCACCCTCCCTATACGGGTCGTAAAGGGTGTTGAAAAAATGAGGGGTTGATGGGCTCAGGAGATTCTTGATGTGCTGCTCAAGCGCATTGATGTCTTTTCCAGATGGGTCTTTGGCAACCTGCACATCACCACAGAAGAAGAAAAGAACACATTTTTTTACCAATCAGAGTGCACGAGTCGGATGGCAATCATCGATCACTCAAAAATTGTGAGTTCAATAAGTTTTCGTAACACTAGTACATTTGGCAAAGATTAAGCGAACAGCCTTATTTATTGTTGTCCAAGATTGTGTCACAACTACATTCGACTTTTGAAGAAAAAATCTTGAGTTTTACGTCCTAAAGCATACAGTGAGTCATCTCACAAATAATTTGTAACCACACCACAACCGAAAGGGAATTCCTTGCTATAATGTTTGCCTATATTGTGTGGTGTATGAGGCAATTGTTTATAGAGATCAAGCCTCTTTACGACATTGCTTGCTAAAAACCAATAATTGTCACAGCTGCATTCACCAATTAATTTGATATTTTTTAAGGAACAAACTGCAATTAGGGATTGGAATCCGAATCCATAGCAAAATCCCCAAATTACTCCCCAGATTTAAACACACATAAAAAAAAATAAAAAAAATAACCTAAATCCAAATCAAAGCATCTCCAAGATCCAAACGTTTCCACACCTCCCCACAACCCCAGATCACATAACCAGCAAACAATTAAATCGAAAGCATAAACGATCTCATCATACTCACAAAGCAATCGTCATCAATGGTGTAGATATACTTCTTCTTGGACACCATATACCCGAAGCACCGACACGCGGAGTCCTTGAACGAGATGCAGGACGCCTTGGGCCCCAAAATCCTGTTAATGTCGTTGCGATTGTACAGCTCGTAATCGAAACCTTCCGGCACCTTGATCGTCTTCGACGGATCGCCGTCCTGGACGATGATCAGGTGGTACTGCTCGAAAAACGGCCGCCACATCTCGAGGAAATCGAGGTTCCTAATCGTTGGTATGACGATGTCGAGCTCGTCCTTCAGGAGTGGGGCTGCGGGAACGGCTCCGGCCATGGCTGGTTTTCTCACCTTCACTGTGTGCGTTTGTGCGTGAGAACTTTGGGGGAGAAAGAGTGTGTGTGTGAGGAAACAGAGGAAGCTGGTCTGGTTTTATAGAGTAGTTATTAGAGATCTGTAGTATAATTATGATAATTGTCCTAAAAAAAATAATAAATAAATAAATAAATAAATAAATAAATAATAATAATAATAATAATAATAATAATAATAATAATAATAATAATAATAATAATAATAATTAGGATGAATTCTAATGATATTTGGATTTCTCTAGTTTGTTACCACATTTCACAAAAAATCTATGTGACATTAAAAATTAAAGAAGTTTTTCTAGATATAATTATTTCTAAACAATTGCTCTATATAATATTTTATTTCATTATTTTTTTAGATGTAGTTCTCTAAACAAATTTCTCTAAAGAAATTCTAAAAGTTTTTCCAGAAGTTATTTATTTAATTTTTTTCTATCTGTCGACAAATTATAACTTTAAACATGTCAAATTAAATAATCTTGAACGTTAATAATACGAGACACGTTTTTTTAATCTTCTTCCTCAACTAGTGTGTACATATATTTGATTCAAATATTTAATTTCTTTAGATTTGATATTTTTATTTACTAACATAACCAACTATGAATTATTAGACATTTGCAACAAAATATATTAAATAAAGGAATGAGTACGGATACAAAAGCTTGATATGTTGGCAATAAAATATTTTTTTCCCCAAGTAAATATATTTGATTCAATGCTTTATTTAAATTAGATATTTTTATTTGTTAACAACCTAATTAGATATTTTTATTTGTTAACAACCTAATAAGACTTATGAAATATTAAACATTGGCAACAAAATACTTCCTAAATTTGGTTTCTAAGTATTTTTTTCCTATAAAAAGGATGAACTCCTGGTTATCAAACTATACATGACATCAACAAACAATGGATCTATTGTATGTTATAATTATTATTATCGTTATAGTTGTTGTTTGCTTAATTGCTATAGCCATTGGAATGTGGCGGTATTTTCGAGGCAAAGTCCACAAAGACAGCGATAGCAACAGTAGTAGTAGCCGCCTTAGCAACATCTTTACTAGTGATAGTAATTGAGAATTAGAAAGTAGAGCGATAGCAATAGTAGTAATAGCCGCCGTCGCAGCATCTTTACTAGTAACAGCAATTGAGAATTCGAAAGTAGTAGTAGCCGCACTAGCAGCATCTTTACTAGTGACAACAATTGAGAACAAGTGAAGAATGGTGAGGTTTGAGCCCATAAACAACTTTGGTTAAATGTTAAATAATGCCTTATCGTTCATCTATTTTACGAGTTCTTTTTTTTTTTTTTTTATGTGGCATATGAGTTGAATTTTGTTTCTAGCTAGCTTTAGATTAATGAAATATGTTTATGTTTTCTAGTTTTATTAAAGAATGAAATGCTACCTTTTCTATTTCTCCAAGTCCATATTAACTAAAGAATAGTTGTACCTACACATTGTGAATCGTTCTAATTGAAGCAAGAAAATAAAATAAAATAAAAAATAAAAAAAATGTGTGAGGTTGCAAAATAAAAATTGCTAATAAATTCGGTGACTTCCATCATGTTCTGTCATTTTTGTGGATATAATGTTATTTGATTTTTTTTTTTTTAACATCGAGTTTAATAAATTACTCCTTATTTATATTATAAGTTGATATGACTAATATAATTTTTAATGAACTATATAAAATTATTTGATAATTTATAGTGACTGATATAATTTATTAATTTATTATATATGATAATTTATAGCAGATATTGCAGATTCCTTATATAAAATGAACAGGAACATTACAGAATACTTATATTAGATATATATTTATTTATATTACAGGTCAGTGTATGAATTTATTACTAGTACGTACCCCGTGACGCACGAGACAAAGATATTAAATGAGTTATTTTTACAGCCTTGTTCGTTTAAGTCTAAAAAGTAATAATGTTATTATTTATTTTCTACATCTTTTAATCAACGTTAAGTCTAAAAAAATATTAAACCGCCTCTGACAAATATGTATGGAGTTATGTGTTCGTGTCTCATAAGTCACAACCATTATGAATAACATTACAAATTATTCATTCAAACTTTTATTCATTGCAAATATATTAAAATAGTTTATATAACAGCCATTAAATACCACTTTCAATATATTTATAAATAAAAAGTACATAAAATTTCTGGTGTGTTCAAATTTAAATAATTTTTTATGGGCTCAGTTTTAAATCATCCGGACATTTGGTCAAATGCATAGGTGTGTTCAAATTTAAATCATTGACATTTTGGTCGGTTGAAATTTAAATCATCTACCATGGTACTGTGATGTGTATTATATAATATATATATATATATATATATATATATAATTTTTTAACAAGTAATATGTGCTTTATAAAAATAATAATAATAATTTCACAAGATTTTAAACGTAAAATTTGGTTTTTAATCACAATAGAAAATCATGGTAATTTGAATTAAAAAGTGTTATGAGATAAAACAATTAACTAAAATAATTAAATAAAATACTTGATGGAAATAGAATGCATTAATTATCTTTGACTTTTCTTACTAATAATTCTAGTAAATAGAATGCATTTTTATATAAGTATAGATTGTGAAATGGGTAAATATTATTAACTTGATAAAATCGAATTGAATGTTAAATATAATTAATTAAATATAAATATATATATATAATTGTTAGAAAAACAGTTAATAAAAATATTTTCATTTCCCGCCACAAGACATTACAAAATTCCATCATTATTTTTTTTGTCACTTTATTTCATATTTATCTAAGTGCTACAATCTCTATTATTTACTTTTATATGTAATATAATTTCTAATCTTCTTACATAATTTTATTCATTTGCGTTTTTGTCATCCATTTAACCTATATTTTATTTTATTTTCAATTCTTGGTTTGAAATCATATATTAGCAAATTAATCCAACTAATTTATTTAATAAAAAAAATGATTTGTTACACTCGGACTTTTCTTTTATTTTATGATTAGGTGTAAAAGAATTATATATTAATATTACATTACAAAGAAAATACAAACTCAATTAAATGAAATAAAAAAATCTCTGTTGTCTCTTCCAATGGATAATGTGTACATGGATAAAAAAACATATAATTAATCAATATTCAATACCTAATATTGAATACACAAAAACGAAACAGAGAGATTGGGAGAAAGAGCTTCGTTGAAGTAAGAGGTACGCCGATATCTTTATGTTTCCTTTATTTTGGTTAATCTTATCGTCGGTAGAGTTCTTCCACCGTTGCGTTGAGCTTCGGCGCTTCGTCTTCTTCTCAAAGACTCAGCTACTATCTGCGCCTCCAATCGATCGAATCCGAGCCTCATCTCACCGAATTAGGTTCTCGGGTTGCTAATTTTGTGAGATAAAGAGGATCTAATTTGACGAGCTTAGTTGAAAACTTTCCGCTACGAAAAATCCCCAATTCTTAATCAAAAACTCAAACCCTAAATCGCTTCTGCTCGCGCGTCGCCCGCTGTGCCCGGCCGTCGGAACCTCGGCCGCGAGCTTGCCGTGAGACCTCAGCCCTCGTCGGAGGTCCTCGACGTCCGCCCTCCAC